TAAACATTGGGAAATACTAAGTACAGTTTGTTCTTAATGATGTTGTTCAGAATCTAACGCAGAGTTTTTACTTCATCTTTATTCAAAATATGTTTTAATGTGACAAGTTCATCCACTAGGTTAGCTGGTAAGTCTGCTTCAGTTTCAGCCAATTCTTTACATGCTTTTTCCAGAGAGTCGTCATCCCGTTTGGGAAATATATGTAAGAAGTCATACAAAGCTAAAATTCCCTTAAACCTGCTGTAAAATTCTGTAATGAAAATGTTCAGAAGTGACTTTTAAAAAATCAGTCCTAAACTTGTCTTTTGTATCCATTTCACCATCAGCTCCTCCATCTTCAGATAACTATTTCTGTCTCCCCCTTGAGTGAATAACTGGAAATGCTCATTCTAAATCCAAGTGAGGTGTCATTTCTTTGGTTTTATCAAGTGCTATATCGAAACCTGTTTCATGATAATTGTGGAAGGTTGCTGCTGCTGTTTCTGTTAATCTGCATGCCATACTAAAGTCCATATAATTTCTCTGAAACTGCTTGTTCATTGTGCTGATTTTGTTCAACACCCTGTACCACACAGTGAGGGCTACCATGAAAGAATAAGTAGATAGTTCCTCTTGCAGTCATTTTGCTTCTGAGCAAACCATATCGTTGGAGGTACAATTATGTAGGTCCAGGAGTGCATCCCAGATCTGGGAGAGCTGTTGATTAATAGCTTTTACAGCACCTATGTGTGCCTCCCATCTTTTTTCAGCCAAGGGTTTCAGGGGAATAGCCACATGCTTATATCCCACCTTTTAGAAGAGCAACCAAACAACAGTATACCAAATAATTTTTGGACTCAAGGAAAAAATCAGCAAGTTCCAGTTGTGAATACAAGGCCATATATGTATATATGGCACAGGAATGCACTTTCCTGATTTGTGCCTGCAAAACCTTGTGCTTGTCCCTTGTGTTGAGCCATTATCAAAACATTGGGCTTTGCAGTATGTTATTTTAAGTCTCATGTGTTCTAGCTGCTTTAAAGTAGTTTCAGCAAGTTCTGCTCTGGAAGGGCCTTTGACATTCAGGAATTTAAGAAAAGACTCTTTAGTTAAAAGAAAAGGAGTACTTGTGGCACCTTAGAGACTAACCAATTTATTTGAGCATGAGCTTTCGTGAGCTACAGCTCACTTCATCAGATGTATACCGTGGAAACTGCAGCAGACTTTATATACACACAGAGAATATGAAACAATACCTCCTCCCACCCCACTGTCCTGCTGGTAATAGCTTATCTAAAGTACTAACACGGCTGTTCCTCTGAAACCACTCTTTAGTTAGATGCTGTTTCTTCGTGCACGTCTACATACCAAAGACTTAAAGACCTTTGTTCCACATGAAAACAATCCAGTGTACAGTTGAACAACAGTACATAATTTTTTTGAAGTTTTCACTTCCATCAGAATTTGTTGTTTAATTTTTGGACCCATTTTGGGTGTCTTTACTAGATAATCATAGGACTGGAAGGGACTTTGAGAGGTCATCTCGTCCCGTGGCTCTCAACCTTTCCAGACTATTATACCCCTTTCAGGAGTCTGATTTGTCTTGCGTACCCCCAAATTTCACTTCACTTAAAAGCTATTTGCTTACAAAACCAGACATAAAAATACAGAAGGGTTACAGCACACTATTACTGAAAAATGCTTACTTTCTCATTTTTACCATATAATCATAAAATAAATCAATTGGAATATAAATATTGTACTTACATTTCAGTATATAATATACAGAGCTGTATAAACAAGTCACTGAATGAATATTAGTTTATACTAACTTTTTTGAAGCGTATTGTAAAACTAGGCAAATATCTAGATGACATGATGTACCTCCTGGAAGACCTCTACATATCCCCAGGGGTACATGTACCCCTGGTTGAGAACCACTGACCTAGTCCAGTCCCCTGCACTTATGGAAGGACTAAGTATTATATAGACCATCCCTGACAGGTGTTTGCCTAAGCTGCTCTTAAGCATCTCCAATGATGGAGATTCCACAACCTCCCTAGGCAACTTATTCCAATGCTTAACCACCCTGACTGTTAGAAAGTTTTTCCTGAAGTCCAACCTAAACCGCCCTTGCTGCAATTTAAGCCTAGAATGCACATTTCCACCTGCCTTCACTTTATCCAAATGACCTGCCAAAACAGGATTATACTTAGTATCTCAAACCCTCTCAGGAATTATCCATTCCATCTATCTCCCAAATGTTGAACATCACCTGAAAATGGCAGATTTGTCTCACCAAGGAATAGGGTGACATATAGAAATCACTGCAGTATGAAATGCCAACAGTATTTCTTTCCTTTCGTTTCCTGCTGCAGCTTTTCATCAGTAGTCACAGAATTCTTGAGACAATTTTGCAGTTCTTTCTAGGCGAAGGAGCAGTTCATATGACCTTCATGCTTCCTTAGTTTAGGCTCCAACTTCCTCCAGTCTGACATACCATTTATGAAAGTTTCTGCATGATGGCCTGGGAGCTGCTCTGGCAGACAGACAGCAGGGAAAACAGAACAACCTGTCCGCTGCCCAGGAACGTACACCATCCAGCTTCGACTGACAGCTTCTCCATTTGCTAGTACACTTTCATAGTGTTGATCAGTGAAATGTCTGCCATGCTGCTGTGGAAAATTTAAAATTTCATATGTCATTTGACTAGGTCCTCTCTCAACAAGATAATGGATGGAGTCTGAAAGTTCATGGGGACATGTGGCGATAGTGCTGGATCTTGCCCCAGGCTGTCTTGTGATGAGCTGTGGCTTGGGACTTCTTCCTGGACACTTGTCTTCATGACAAATAGGAACTGATAGCTCATTGAAATTGTCAGTGCTACTTCTCCCAGTGCTAGAAGGTGCAGATGTGTTCATCTCAGGTTTTCTTCTGAATTTTTAGTGCAGGCAGATATTATGGCCATTGCTGCACTTGATTTCTAAATGATCTTTTTCCTTCCCAGAAGGACCAGAAAAAGCCCAGGACCAAAATGCCACTTTACAGCTAGGCTGGTCTGCTGATGTTGCATAGTATCACCTCTGGTGACCTGGTGCTTTTTACTTTTGCTGACAGTTATTTTGGCTTTTTGATGGTAGATGGTTGCAGGTTCCCATTTTAACAGCAACTCTGCTAATGACAACTTTCTATTAATGGAAAGATTTTGCCTGGAACCAAATCCAGTTGACTGCAATGTTAATTGTTTTGGATATTGGCAGGCTTGCTGTTTATTGGCAACTTTTTGTTTGTTTTGACATGAGCCCTGTGAGCCCCCAGCATCCCCCCTTCACATGGAAAGCCTAGTCACAGGCAGAGCCCAGTATTGGTGGTGGACATGGGCTAATGTTTCACATCTAAACCAAGAGGTTTTACCTCTTTTTTTTTTTTTTTTTTTTAATATGAATTCAGCTCAGCGGTTTCAGATGAATTTCACTTTGAGTTGTGGGACCAAATGATCTCCAAATTTCAAAGCTCCACTCTTCAGACAGTGCAAGCCCACCAGAATCAAAACTGAAAATAAGGGTCCAAATTCTGTGTTGTCTCTCTCATGAAACAGCACAAAAGAAGCAACTTGGGAACTTGAACTCTCAGGATATGCTGATTCTCCAGGATCCTGGGGCTCTTCCTTCTCTGATATATAGCTTGAAAGGAAGCAAAGAGCTTGATCCTGATCTCGTTCTTCAATTAGTGGTAGCTAGATAGAATGACTCTTTCACCAGGATTGATATTACATATATTCGGTCATTAGTGGGATGTCACACAGGGTGATTGGCCCCTTTAAGGAGAGATGGGGCTAGTCACACCTATGCCATAATTAATTAGCTGCTTCCTAGTCTGAGGGGACAGGACTAAGGAGGGTCAGGTGACAGCTTACTGGACTCCTAGGCCTTATGAAAGAACTGAAAGATCAGTCTGTAGTGGAATGACAGGGAATGGGGAGGCTCCTGTGGAAAGCCCTGAACCAGGGTTGCAAGAGGCCAGGGGGGAGGGATAGCTCAGTGGTTTGAGTATTGGCCTGCTAAACCCAGGGTTGTGAGCTCAGTCCTTGAGGGGGGCCATTTAGGGATCTGGGGCAAAAATTGGGGATTGGTCCTGCTTTGAGCAGGGGGTTGGACTAGATGACCTCCTGAGGTCCCTTCCAACCCTGAGATTCTATGATTCTGTACTCCGGGGTGGAACCAGCCTGAGGGCCTATTGCTCTGTATCAGTGTTGGGGAACAGCCTATTGGGCTGAGAACAGTACTCCAGGGAACCAGCCTGGAGGCCAGATGTTCTATCCCAGAGCCAGAAAGACTCTCAAAGGTAGTCCTCTTTATGAAACAGCGCCCGAAGGGTAGACTGAATAAAAGCCCTCAAGGGCAAAAGAAACTTTTTTTTGTTTGTTTCTTTGGGACGTTTTAGTTGGACTTTTGATAACCTGAAAGGTGTACTCTGTGTTTGATTTAGCCACATCTCCCATACAGATCTGTGAGTGGAGAGCTGAGGAGACCTGCCTCAGGGAATGCTGACAGTGCCACATTCGTCCAGCAGGAGGTGCTATGGAGCAGTCATGCCCCTATAACTAGATTTCCCCCGAGGCTCATCCTGCCCAGGATTGTAGATGTGGCTTAATTCTGGAACCCTGCTTGTAAAAGAGAGCTTTTCAAAACTGCCACTTTTGGGGCAAAAATCTATTCTTATCTGATCCACTCTGTACTGGCTTTGCTGTGCGGTAGAGTTCTGTAGCGGCTGTGATGTCACCAACAGAATGCATGCTGGTGGAACACAAGTAGGAACAGGTGATTTGCTGTGTGGCCAGGCTTCACAGAACTTGAAAAAGAAGGGGCAGTAGAATGAGGAAGAAGGTAAAATCTTAAGCTTAGTATTGTGCTAATGCTAATGTTTCTCTGCACATGTTTTAAAACTAGTTTGATTTTGAATGGAACAAGAGAGAATAAAATTGAACAGAACATTAACACTTTTTTTCCCCATACTAACAGGTTAGTTGATTGTTTAAGAGACTTTGGGCCTACAGACTGGCAATTGGCTTGCTTGATATGCAAAACGCTGTGGAACTATAGTGAAAATATCACAAGTCCTGCATCATGCTTTGAAGAAGAAGATATCAATACACTCCTAGTGCTGCTTGCATCATTTTTAGGTAAGAGCTAACAATCTCATTACCTTTTCCTCAGAGCAGAACAAGACAGGAGTAAAACCAAGGAAGTATCTGTGCATGGGATGCAATGTATTTAAACAGGTTAGCGGTTCATGGATTACTCAATGACACAATGGCCTTTGCCCATTCACGGCAGCTATCTCCATGTTTTTCCATGCTTTTCCTCCTTCATCTCAGATGTAGGAAGTCACCAAGGTAGAACTGCCTTTTTGTACCATTGCCAATCATTCCAGTCCCAGTTCTGCTGCTTTGCCAGTCAGTAAGCTACTGACTTTCACCAACAGTCCTTTGCGTCTTTGACCCAACTGCCCTATATACTCACAGTGCAAAGTATAGGAACTGGAACTGGGCCCCTCTTCTCCTCCAAAGCAATGTAGGGATTTACAGAAGCACGTGATCAGACGTTCAGCTGCTTAACTAACCTTGATTGTGAATACAGAGCACACTAGGCAGCACAGGGGAATAAGACATTTCTCCTAATGCAACAAAGTGTGCAACTCTCCAGTGCTTATGTAGGCTGAGCTCATTGCACATGCCAGGGGCTCCTTGCAGTCCCCCAGAGGCCACCCTCCTATCTCCATCTATTTTCAAGACTCCCTGTAACCCCTGCCTTGCTCCCCCCATGCCAGGGGCTGTGTCCCAGAGAGAAAGACAAGCAGAGAAATGACATCAAGTGGCATGTAGATAAACTAGATCCTATTACCGCTTGATACATTTGTTTTCAAATTGTACATAATAGTGCATAGTTTCTGTACTTAATTTTACCCCTTTATTTTATGTTCACTACTTTGCTTTGTATTATACTCACTGAGTCAGCCTCTTCCAATTGCCTTTAAAAAAAACAACAACAAACCAAGAAAAATCCAAAAGAAAACGAGGCAAATCTTTGTTTAATTTTGATTTACAATTTTTTAAAATTTCTTGAAAAGTTTTATATATTACTGTTGAGGCAAGGATTGGATGGTAGTTGAGAAGACCTGTTAAGAAGTGAGATGCCCCAAAGTCTGCTGCAGACATTTCTAGACTGCGAGAAGTGGTTCATGTTTACTGCAAAGTTACTAAGTAATTTATTTGCTTTATTTTTCCTTGCTTTGCAGTGATAGATGGCCATGTACTGCATGATAAGATAAGGCATCTGTCTAAAAATACTCATTGCACAATCAATAGTGCACCTCTTAGCATTTCTCTAACAAAAGCACAAACATGCTAGTCAGTCACAATCATTCCTGAAAGGTCTGCCGTCCAGTTGTGACTATGCATCTTCATTTTGGATCGTTCTTAATGTTTTCATTAAGGATTTTTCCTTTTTATTTAACATTTTCTTCCTCCAGCTATTAAGATATTGACACAGTACATGATTACTCCCATTAGCTTGTTCATCTGCCATCAGGTGGGTGTCCTTCTGCAATTACAATTTTAGTTGTAGCATGTAAGGATGCTTATTTAAATCAAAATTTAACTTGAAAGTTAATCTTCCTCAAATTTATGGTCAGAAGTGACTGTACAAATGGGACTCTTACTCACCAGATCTGCGCTGTGTGTGTTGGGAGTCATCGTATGTTGGTAGTGACAACAGTGAGTTAATATTGGCCTGCAACTCTCTCCTGCCATTATACCCACTATACACCTTGATTATTAGCAGTCAGGAAGGAGGAGGCAACTTCAGTCAATTAATACACTGTATCTAAGCAGCAGGCCAGCCCTTTCCTGTCATTTGTTGGACTCCTGTGAGTTGGAGCATGGAGCAGCAATCACCTCAGTTCACTAGCCTCACTAACCATCTCTAGCAAGAAGATACATATAATAACGTAGACAAAGGTGAAGGAAAAGGAGAGTGGGAAATAAAAAGTCTGCAGAGAGAGAAGAGGGAGGAGGACAGCAGCAAGGAAAGCCATTTCTTCTTTCTGCCCCTTTTCAGACCCTTGCACTCTGAGTTGCAGAAGCAGCTCTCCTCCCCTTTCAAGTGGCTCTGTCACAGTCCATCCAGTGAATAACCTCTTCTTTCAGGGACAAGTGCTTTTTTGCTGCCCCTGATACCTTCTTCCCACTTGCTCTACTGACTGCCTCTGCAGGGCCCTTCAGCCTGGCACTTTCTCACTCTGCATAGTTGCTTCAGTTACCCCATTGCAGGAGTTCCCTCAGGAACAGCAGACCTGGGGCTTGTCTCTACCTTATGATGTTGGGCAACTTGGTTCCCATTTCCACATCATGCTTTTTCCTCCTCCCTCTTCAGTGGGTTTTAACGTGGCAATCCAGTTGTCCCCTACTTCATTTACATGTGGGTGGTAGAGGGTCTCAATACACTTACATTCCCCTATGGCCTGGTATTGTCCTCCTCTCCTGTGGGCATCCTCTCACAGGTCACTCCTGCCCTCAGGCTGCAGGGATTCTCTCAGTTCTCATGGCACAGAGCCTGCACTCTATGCTCTAGTCCTGGGTTCCACCACACCATGAAGAAGCAGTGTGTTGATCTCACTCCTGGGATGGCATTCATGTGCTCTGTAGTGCAGGAGATACACCCTGTCAAGGTTCCTTCCCCACTCTGAACTCTGGGGTACAGATGTGGGGACCTGCATGAAAGACCCCATAAGCTTATTTCTGCCAGCTTAGGTTAAAAGCTGCCACCACCAAAGTGTTACACAAAGAACAGGCAAAGAGCCCACTTGGAAACGTCTTCTCCCCCAAGCCCTACACCCCCTTTCCTGGGGAAGGCTTCATAAAAATCCTCACCAATTTGCATAGGTGAACACAGACCCAAACCCTTGGATCTTAAGAACAATGAAAAGCAATCAGATTCTTAGAAGAAGAATTTTAATTAAAGAAAAAGTAAAAGAATCACCTCTGTAAAATCAGGATGGTAAATACCTTACAGGGTAATCAGATTCAAAACATAGAGAATCCCTCTAGGCAAAACCTTAAGTTACAAAAAAGATACAAAAACAGGAATATACATTCCATTCAGCACAGCTTATTTTATCAGCCATTTAAACAAAACGGAATCTAACGCATATCTAACTAGATTGCTTACTGACTTTTTACAGGAGTTCTGACCTGCATTCCTGCTCTGGTCCCAGCAAAAGCATCACACAGACAGAGAGGACCCTTTGCTTCCCCGCCCCCCTCCAGCTTTGAAAGTATCTTGTCTCCTCGTTGGTCATTTTGGTCAGGTGCCAGCGAGGTTATCCTAGCTTCTTAACCCTTTACAGGTGAAAGGGTTTTTCCTCTGACCAGGAGGGATTTAAAGGTGTTTACCCTTCCCTTTATATTTATGACACACCCTGACTTCCACACTGAGAAGAGGGGTTGGGAGATTAGACACTCTCCAACTAGATGATTTGTACCTGGATACATACAGTAACTCCTCACTTAATGTTGTAGTTATGTTCCTGAAAAATGCTACTTTAAGCAAAACAATGTTAAGTGAATCCAAATTTCCCCCATAAGAATTAATGTAAATTGGGCGGGGTTAGGTTCCAGGGAAATTTTTTCCACCAGACAAAAGACTATATCTATCTATCTATCTACACACGCACGCGCACACACACACACACACAGTATAAGTTTTAAACAAACAATACTGTACACAGCAGTGATGATTGTGAAGCTTGGTTGTGGTGGTGAAGTCAGAGGGTGGAAGAGGGTGGGATATTTCCCAGGGAATGCCTTACTGCTAAATGATGAACTAGCATTCAGCTGTGCCCTTAAGGGTAAACACGTTGTTAATGTAGCTTCACACTCTACAAGGCAGCACAAATGGAGGGAGGGAAGACAGCATGGCGGAGGGAGACAGAGATGCATTTCCCTTTAAGTACACTGACCCCGCTCTAAGTACACTGCCTTTTTAAGTAGACCAGCAAGCTCCCTCCATTGTGAGCCCTGTTGTGTCCCCCATCCCACTCTGTGGAGATGAAGTACAGAAGTGGGGGGAGGCGGATACCCTGACATTAGCACCCCTCTTCCCCACCCCCATCTGCACATTAAGCTGGAGGCTCCCAGGAGCAGCACACGGCAGTGGTGGGAGGGACAGCTGACCTGCCTGGCAATTGATAGCCTGTTGGGCGGCTGCTCCACAGGGAAGTTAGGGGAGCTGATGGGGGCTGCCGGCCCACCCTGGTTCCAAGCCCCCACCAGCTCGCTCCAACAGGCTGCTCTTCCTGCAAGCAGTGGAGAAAGCAGGTGACTGCCAAATGTTATAAGGGAGCATTGCGCAACTTTAAATGGGCATGTTCCCTAATTGATCAGCAAGGAAACAACATTAACCGGGATGACTTTAAGTGAGGAGTTACTGTACTTCCACAGAGGATCCCCATTCATGTGGCCCATCATTGTAATCTGCATCTCTGTGGGGAATCTTCAGCTCCAGATCTGCGCTATTCACTTTGGTCTAATCTCTGCCTCCTGTCCTTTCCAAGACTTTCATAGCCTACTTGCTGCAGTCGTGTGGGTATATACAATATGCTTCAATAACCTTTTGATCCAGGACCCTTCAGCCAGGATCTTTACCCATTCTTTCAACATGTTATGGATGATAAGTGTAATTTCTACCTATTTAGTAGATACCTGTCTTTTGTCAGAGATAGTTAACTTGTATTGAAAACACACTCTGGGCTAGGTAATGCATTTCTCTCTGAGAACAAACATCAGAATCCCTTATCTGTCCTTTCCAGAGTCCACTCCCTGAGCCCCTTTGTGGTCAGATTCATTTTGAGCTTCTTTGGCGATGTTGCTGCTTGTTTGGAGCTGATGTCCTGGCTTTGCTTTCATCTCCAGCCATTGCAGGGTTTCTTGCTGCAAAGACAACACTCTTCTCCTTGAACTAATTGCTTTTCCTTTCTATTAAGTTTTGGAAGTCCCTGTTTTGGAAGTAGCCTTCCCCCACTACTTTTGGTAGGGTCCAGCTTCTCCCATCCTTTCATCTCCACCCTCATAACCGTAGTTGCTAGCATTGCAGGCTGTGATGTTCATTTGGGCATCTCAGTATGGGGGACTTGCAGCCCCCTGCCTTGAAATGCCAACTTCAATGTGCTGGTATTTCAGGCATTCCAAGCTCTCTCTTTGTCTTAAAGCTATGACTTAACCCAGTGTGACATCCACAGCCCTCTGCCCTTCTCAGAACCCCCCTCGCATATGCTTGGGTAGAGCCCCATTTCAGAATATGGCCTTTGGATCATAGAGCTGCTGCCCAGGATCTCATTCAATTCTCTCTGATGGCCTAGAGGCCAAGTGGCTTCTATTCCATTAGAGGAAATGGCTGAGATCCTGTCATAGAGTTGGAATCAGTTCCCCTCCACTACATGCTCAAAGAATAAAAGTAAAAAGAGAAAGGCACTTGCTTTGCAAGGGGATGGGATCTACCACCTGTTCCCTGAGGTAACTGCTGGATTTGCCAAAATGTGGATTGCAAGTAGCTCTGCCTTGAGGCCTCTTCTGAACTGACTCAGCCAAAACTCAGTCATGTTGGGGGGAAAAAAACCTTAACTTTGTCTTCCTTTCAGACATTTGTCAAAAACCATCAGTTGTGCTTGGCTCCTGTAGTGGATTCCAAATTCTGAAGCATGTTCCTTCAAGTTCCACTGTAACCCTGCCCTAAGTTTTTTTTGTTTTTGTTTTTTCCCCCTTACTTTCCACATCTGATAGTCAAGGCTGTTGCTGGGTAAAATAGGAGAAGAGGAACATAAGATTACTCACCAGTAATCCTGTTTGTCATAGTTTTCTTCTCCTATCGTACTTGCCTCCAATCTCCACTCACGAAGCAACATTTGAAGACCACTTGTCTAATCTTCTCTAGTCTACTCTTTCCTGTTCTTTCTTGCTTTGGACGTTTCTGTAAGATGGATAGGCTTAAATGCTGTATTGATCCGTCCAGGCTCCTATTGGTGGATCAGGGATATCGTTGAATAGAATTGGAGTAAACAACAAACCAGATTACCAGTGAGTGATTTATGGAAAAGCCAACACATCATAAATGAATGAGCTGGATTACCTCCCGGCTTGTACATCTATGAATTTGTTAGTACATTTAATTGTAGAATCTCTTACTGTTGATGATGATCAAACCAGAACAAGCGCAGCTTGACTTCAAATTCCCAAGCTGGCACTTAGGAAAAAAAACCTGTTAGTTGTAGACAACTATTGTGAAGCCATTGGGAGGTGATAAATATAGACCCCACAATACTATTTTTTCTACTCATTTTTCTGAGCCCAAATGCATTCATGTTTTTCCATTAGAACTAAGCTCCTCAGACAGTGGTTTTTAGTTTAACTCAAAGTTGTTTGCAAACTATGAATGTAGAACTGGTAAAAATTGTACATGCCCTAGTGGTAATACATAGGGTTTTTTTTAATTCTTCAGCATTGTTGACATTTTCCCCCATTGCAGATGAGGAACTAGCATTGGATTACAACTTCGACAGAGATTTAAGAGACTATCACAAACTGTATTGGGAAACAGAGTTCAAGCCTGTGGCACAGAAGCTTCTCAGCAGAATTCAAAGCCACCATTCCTTCCTTCAGCCTATCACTATGACGTCATTTTAACCTGGGGGCTGCTAAACTGTTAATACAAACCACAGAATATTTCAGCTGTTTTAAAATAGTAGTAGTAGATGCAAACAGGATTTGCTATTAATATATTGAAAACAACTCCATTAAGTGCTGATTATCTTTGTATGTAGATTGTATATTTAACTATTTCTGACGTTACCTATACATTTTCATTGGCAAACATGTTGGACATTATGGGGAAAATGAATAAAATTAATTTATCTCACAGCTAGACTGAATACTATCTTTTGAGAAAGTTATTTTATATAATATCACTTTAAACCTCTGCTTAAAAAAATCAAATAATTGAGGTAATGTGGCTTTTCTAGTAATTAAATTCTGTTGGGGGTTTCTTTGGTGGAGAAGTTTGTTTACAGCTGAAAAAAGACTATTTGAATAATTTGCCAAACTTACTTCTTATAGTTAGATTTCCCCCCCCCACCCCCAGCAATGGGCACATGGGAAATCTCTGGCAGCAAGGAGCTATGCATTACAAGAAGATTGTTCTGCAGTACACTACATTTATCTACAGACTTGGGCTTAGTACTTCTTCTTGTTCATAAAATTCCATAGCAAATACTAGCTGAGCATGTACTGCTAGGTTACGTTTGGAGTTTGTTCTTTTCACAGGATGCTCTTTTAAATGACACACAAGAGCTTCAATTTTTTTAAATGGTAAGATAGAATTTGTCTCCCTTTTTCACAAAAAGGGGAAATCATCTTTTTCCCTCCTCTCTGTATGCTCCTGGGGATTTCCCTCTTCATTGATGAGAGGGGAAACTCTCTAGCCTAAGAGAGTTAGCCTAAACTCTAAGCTGCTGGGAGATGGTCTCTCTACCATCCCCATTCTTGGCTGGGGCTTATTTTTCCTCTCTGCTGGAGGGATGATGCGCTTTACCTTTATCACAGGGAAGTTGGTGATCAGCTATCTCAGCTTTCTCCAGCTCTGATTTGGGCATGAATCTAATGGATTAGCCTCAGCCTTCTTTCTCCCTCTTTCTGTTATGCATGACTAGTCCTGGCTCTGTCCTTGAAATAATAGAGGAAGAACTTAGTATTATCGGACTAGTTGTGCAGAACAGAAAGGGAGAGAGAAGGCTGCCCCTGATCCATGGGATCAGTGCCCAGACTAGAGCTGGGGGATAGCTGATTGTGTGTGTTTGTGCTGTATATTCACTGTTGGTGCAATGCATCCTAGATACTTGTTTGGATACTTTTGGCCAGTAGTGTCCATTGGGAGTTGTGTGTCTACCATGTGTCTTAGTGCCCCCAGCTGCTGGGGGTATAATGAGCGGCCCTCAGTTCCTTCTCATTGCTCTTCACTCATGCATTTTACCCAGTGTTGTGTAAACAGTTGTAGTTAGGCAAAGTTAGGTTTTTTGATTTCAGCAGAAAGGAACTGCTGTTTGTTGTTCTTTGAGTAGCATCCCTAAGGGTGCTCCGGTTCAGGTGCCTCTCTAGCTCTCAGTCAGAGATTTCTAGTTTGCAGTGGTCCATTCATCCTGTGCATGTGCCTCCTTGTGGCAGACAAAAATGCTGTATAGGGGTGCACAGGCAAATCGCCCTCAGTTCCTTCTCTACTGCCTCAGCTGGAGACAGACCACTCGCAGGTCTGCTTACAGCATATGCTGCCTTTTATCTTTCTTCAAAGTTTGTTAGTTTATAGTTGTAGGTTACTGTATAGTGTTTAGTAATAGTTTAGATGAGAGGACAACTTTCCCCCAGGAGACGTGTCTTCTCCTGGCAGAATATACCTGGTTTGTCAGGCTTCAAATGTTGCCTCTCTTGCCAGGAAGCTGTACGGGTAAATGATAGGCACTGAAAGTATGTCTGTTGCTGGGAGAGTCACTCGTCTCCCAGAAGTCTTTCTTCCGTTTGTCCCTTATGTCCAGGAGTAGGAAGAAGAGGGAGAGAAAGCCAAGACTGTTGGCCATGGAATGTTCCTTGCAACTGCCCTCCGAGCCAGGGCAGGAGACTGCTGCTGTACATCTGTTCCCAGATAGATCCAGCACCCCATTAACCTTGGGGCATGCTTCCTCTAAGAAAGGTAAGTCTTCGAAGCATGCTGGCAAAACGTCTAAAAAGAGGCGCAAGGAGCCAGCTCCAAAAAAGACTAGGTCACCATTGAGGTCCTTGGTTTCTAAGGGTACTGTTGAGGCCAAGGACTCTTCCTCCTGTTCCAGCAGGCCCATGATGTCCCGGCACTCAAAGGAAAGGAAGCATGGCTCTGATAGGGCTCCTCTACCCTCCACCGGTAAGGAGGGCAAGCACAAGGTATCATTGAGATCAGCCCTGCCATTGACGCCAAAGCACTGTACTCAGTCATTGGTGCCATCGCACACCTTAACCCAGTCATCGGTACCAATGCAAGCATGGTGGAACCAATCTTGTATGCCACTCCCATTTCCTTATGGACCCCTGCAATGGGTCCATCCTCAGGTAGTCAAAAATCCTCTCAAATCTCAGTAGAAAAGAGTAGCTCAAGGAAGGGGTCACTCTGGCACCTATTCAGGCACCAGTCATCATCCCTTGGTCCCCAGGAATGGCCTGGTTCTGACTGCTTGGTACTGAGGCCCACCCTGTACAGATATCCCCAGTACCAATGTCCTCTAGTTGCCTGACTAGTGCCAACTTACTTGGTACTAAAATCCTTCATGGTGCTTATGGTGCCAGACTTGCTTTTGGTAGTGAAGGTACTGCCTTTGTTACTGAGCACAATCTTACGGTGCTCTTCATTCTCCACCTGAAACTGCTCCTTCTCTCACAGACAGCGAGGGTAGGGAGAAGTCACTAATTCAATCCACGGTAGTATACACCCAAGGGGTGTTGAGGGCTGCTTTTTTATTACCCCAGACATAAGAGCTTGAAGAGGGATACTATTCTCTAGTATCCACTCATAGGGCTACCTGCTCCATATTTCTATCAACACCCATGGTCGTCTTGGGCACTGTGGGGAAATTCATCAGGCCAAAAGGCCAGCATCTGCATCCTAATCAAGGGCTAGTTCCCCCTCACCACCACCTCACAAAGGAGCATTATAGCTAGCCCAATTTTCCCCACTCTGAACCAAACAGACTGCTCACAGGTGGAGGACCACACCATCATCATCCCCTGAGGAGGCTGTGATGTCCATCTCATCTGTCTCAACCCCAAATGATCACAAAGTGTTCCAGGACTTGCTGGATAGGATGGCTGATACCCTGGAGATTCCAGTAGAAGTGGTCCAAGGGGGGAAAAAAAGAAAAGCTCCTGGACATCTTGCAATGCCCACTGATAAGGGACTTTTAGAGCCAGTTAACTTGCTTTGGCAGACATGCTGGTTCTTTGGCACCAACATCAAAAAGAATGACTGCCATTGTCAAATGCCTTATAAGGGCTTTGAGCAACTTTATACACACCATCCCTGGACCTTTGGTTGTTGGAGCAGCTAATGAAAGGTCTAGAAACTCATCAGAGCAGGCAATCATCTGCTTCTGCCACCCCTCATCATGCTCAAGGCAGCAGATTTGACTGCTTGGTCAGGAAAGATGTACAATTTCTGTTGGATCCTCCTGTGATATCCCCTCCATTTGGCAACTATTTCATTTTCATGGGGTCTGTAAAAAGATTAGTTTCCAGTAGTACACAGTGGAGTGGAGTTATTCCATCCAATTCCTGATCCATCCTACCCACCTTCTCCATTTTCAGAGAGACCTTTAACAAAAGCATGCTGTAGCAGAAGGTGCACTCTCTTCTAACTCTCATCACAGTGGAAGAAGTACCTCAAGAATAAGGGGGAAGAAGTTTTACTCATGCCTTTAATTCCCTAAAAAGGGGATGCTGGTGCTCTATCTGGTTTGGGAACAATTGAACATCTCCATTTGCAAGCTCATATTCAGGATGGTGACTCTATCAATAATTTCAATCTTAGATCTACGTGACTTGTGTGCAGCTCTCAACCTCTAGGATGCTTATTTTCATATAGCAATTCATGCTACCTGCGGAGAAGGTTTTAGGTAGGCAATTCATTCCCCCAACAGGGTGAAACAGTTTGGTCTATTGACAGCACTGAGGATATTCAGAAAATGCCTAGCAGCAGCAGCTTACTGCAGAAGAGGTACTTAAACAAGTGTCTTAGTCATGGGATGTCTCAGCAACAGGTAACTTCACAACAGACCCTGCAACTCTATAATTCTCTAGGACTAAGAGTAAACAAAGAAGTTGGTACTAGATCCTATTCAAAAGATCAGGCGTACTTGTGGCACCTTAGAGATTAATAAATTGGTTAGTCTCTAAGGTGCCACAAGTATTCCTGTTGTTTTTGTGGATACAGACTAACATGGCTGCTACTTTGAAACCTATTCAAAAGATGGTGCTTATAGGGCACTTTTGGGCTCTGTAAACGGCACTAACCTCTCTGTTCAAATAAAGAGTCTAAGCCATAGTACATCTGACCAACCACCTGCAACTTCATCCCAAGATACCTTTAAGAACTTGTCTTGAACTTCTGGGGTACAGGGCTTCCTGCACATATGTAACTCAGCATGCCAGCCTTCACCGCTGCTGCAGGCAATGGTGGTTAAAGTTTATTTGCCAACTAGACATACACTGTGATACACGGTTAATTTCCCCCCTCCAGAACTCCTGTCATTATTAAACTAGGGGAAAGGCCCTTGCAAACTTTCAGAGGATGTATCCTTCTCTTGACCATCAAAGATTCTGGTGACATACTTACATGCTAGGATGGGGACCCCTGTCCCCCAGATAACCTTCAGACATGGAATGTGGACTTCTCAATAAGCCTGGCTTCACATAATTACCTTGGGACTAAGGGATATTCATTAGGCATGCAGTTTTCTTCCCAGTTCTAAAGGGTCTGACCATTCAAATGGTGATGGATGACCCTATGGCAATAAAGCCATGCTTTATATGAGAAAACAGGGGGGAGCAAGAACTACCCCTATATCAGGAAACTGTAAACCTATGGAACTACTGTATCCAGTGGTGAGCTGGAACTGGTGGTTAAATTTAGAAGCAGTTTTAGAATCGGTTGTTAGGGCTCCCTGAGCTCCCAACGGGGGAGGCTCCCCCAGCCCCTCTCCTGCCTTCCCCCCTCTTGCAGAGCCTCAGCATGCTGTGCTCTGGACCACTCCACAGCACCTGCCACTTTGAGCAGCATGGTAAGGGAGTGGGGCTGCGAGCAGCGGGCCGCACGGCATCCATACACGCTGCCCTGAGCAGCACAGTAAGGGGGCTGGGCTGGG